GAGATAGACTTGCTGGGATTCCCACAGTGTGGCAGCAGCTGTGCCATGTAACCGCTGAGAAAGTGATGTTGGACTTGGTGATATCTTGAGCCTTTTCTCAGCAGGGTAGGCTTCCAAACAGTAGTAACCTTCAAGTCACAACGTTAATGAAGTTGTCACTGTCTTTACTGAAGTTACACCCTGAATAACTACATTTATCAACAGTTTGTGAGGTTTCTTGCTCAGATACTGTAGGATCATCTGGTTCTCATACCAGTCATTTTCATTTGCTAATTAAAAACAACATCTAAATGGTTGACTTTTTGGCTAGAATATCACTCTTTCACTCATTTCTTTTGATTATGCATTCAAGAGGCAGATATCAGCTGAGTCCAGATTTCCAACTGTGCCATCTATATTTGAAATTCTTGTTCCACACTGAAGATCCTTAACAAAAAATAGAGGATTCAGGCAGGACCAAATCACATTTAACTCTAGCAGTACATCACACCAACAGGGTAGTTCCTAGTTAGAGACTGCAGTACATTTCACACCCTGATAATGTGTGGACAATTTTAAAAGAAAAAAAGAAAAAAAAGAAAACAAAAGAAAAACAAATAGAGTTGCACTATCTGTTACAATTATTTTCTTCATTGTCAAAAGCTTTCTGAAAACCAGTAAAATTTAGGAGAGGCAGCCACTGTCTTTTATTGCTTTGTTCAACAATGCTATAGGATCAGTTCAAGAATGGACAAAATGAAAACCTATCTGTGCTCCTTGAAACTTACTGTCAGTGAGGATTCTGGCTGGCAGACCTGTACAGAAAAACTACTTGGGCCTGGAACAATGATCCCTTTCCAGATCTTCTTAAGCATTTCTGTTGGGCCTCCTCTTTTCCATTATTTATTTTAAAGAAGATCATGGGGATAGAGAAAATACTTTTTCTTTCATTCATGGGTGCAAACTCATGGCATCTTTCCAAGTTTTTCACTGCTTCCTCTGGACAGATCTTCAGGTATTTTATCCCAGTTTACTTTTTTTGTTCTTTAGCTTGTTTATAGCTACTTGGATTTTCTCCAGGGTTACTTCTTCTTAGCAAAATATAAGGATCTTCCATCTCATCTGTCATCAAACTCAGTTTCTAAGGGTAGCCTGTCATGCAGCATGGGCATGGTCCAAGAAGCTTGTCCCTTCTGCAGGGGATATTAAAATACTTTCATGTTTGTTCACCAGCCCACTGTGGGAAAGACTGTGGCTGAGATTTGGCTTTTGGCTCTCATCCTCTCTGCCTGTTTACCAATATATGCTTCTTCCACTGGGTGCTCAGTGTCCTCAACACATTCACACTGGTGCAACACCATGACAGAGCTGCCTCTGACCTTCAGTGGCCTCAATTAAAGAATCTAATTAAAGAATACAGCCCAGACAATTATTAGTCCTCCCACTTTGGGGTATTGAGCTGGGCATGGGGGCCAAGGATCAAACAACTTCACCCCTGTCATGGGAATGAAGATGAGATCGCACCAAGCCCATCCTCAGCACGTGCCCTGCTCCGGACAATGCAGGAAGACAACACAACTAGGAAGATAGCCAAAATTTCCAAATCCGGCAGTTTACATCAGCTTTTAACACGTTACTCTGCTATTTACATTTTTTCTTTAGAAATGTTACTAACAGAGAGTTATTAGACCTTGAACTGTATTTACAAATAATGAAGCCATTTCTCTTTGGCTTTTCCAGCCACGTGGATTCAGTGGGTTCCACTGTGGTTTTAGTGACTGTGTTGATGTACCATAACAGACAAAGTGAGTTCTGGGAAACAAACACTGTTGTTTTGTTTGGTTTCAAGGCTAACATAAATTAAAGGGCAGCACATCAGAGCCTGCCACAGAGAAACCAACATAGAGTCTGAGCTTCTTTGCAATTTGAGAGACTACTCCGTCTAGGTGAGGATTAAAACCTTTGTGAATGTGGAACACACCTTTTTTTTCATGTTTAAACTTTCACTTCTATTTCTTATGCAGGGATAAATGATAGACCAGTCTTATGAATTTTGATAAGCACACACTCCAACAACCAAAACATTCTATAAAAAAAACAACTTTCTAAAATTATATTTACTTTGGGGGTATACTCTGCTGGGCAAACAGTTCAACACATATCAGGAATCATTAATAAGTCATATCCAGGTCTGAAATAATGAAACAGACCACGTCTGTTATCCAGGCTTTTAAAAAGACAGGGCAAGCCAAGAAAGGGGGGGAAAAAAGAGACTGAGCTCTGCATTTCTAGCGTGAAACATCTGTATTTTATCTCATGTACCAGATGATGAAATTACTTTGGAAGCCAGGAGACACACTAGTGTAAGCTTGATTCACCAAGTGAACACACACCCCCTTTCAACTGGATTAGACATTTTGCAAGTTATGATCAGGTCTTCATTTTGCCTGTTCAGGGTAAATACCGTACCCCAAAAACTCATTCGTTCCTCAGTTACACGGTTTAGTCTACCACACTCTTCTGAAAAGTACAAAAGGAAAAAAATGGGTATGGAATGAGGTCTGTTTCTGATGCAGACTCAAAACGTGATATGTGCTTCTTTACATGCAGATAATATATGCTGTAGTAAATTACGCAGCTAAATAGCAGCTGGTTCTGTTTACTATTACATACCACCCCAAATAATAAGAGCAACCTCCCACAAGCAGCCATTGACCAACTGCATCCATCTTGCATATTTTCCTTTCCCTAAACATAGAGTAAAACAAAAACAGTAAAAATGTACTGGTTGAGAGAAAACAATAATTCAGTCTATAAAAGGATTATTTAAAAGGACTTTAATGCAGCTATGCAGATATGCATATAAAGGTCTTGGAATATGGAAGGGAAAAAAAAAAGGAACGGGGTGGGCAGAAGAC